GGCTTAATTACAAGGTTGAAAGTTTCAAAAAAATCCAAACCAGGGGTTTGCTTAAACTCCTTAGCAAGCAGCCTTGCTTTGCACTTTTGTAGGGACCCATCAGCATGAAACTTTGTCCTAAAGATCCATTTGTTACCAACAATCTTCATATCACTCATCTTGGGAACAAGGGACCAAGTGTTGTTCTTTACTAATGCATCATAATCAAGTTGCATGGCTTCTCTCCATTCATTACTGACCAAGGCTTTAGCAACTGAATCAAGTTCTGGTAGGACAGGTTCTTGACCAGATATGATAAGGGCAGTTTTGTGTTGAAGACTAGTTTTTGCTCTAGTTAACATAGGATGTGTGTTTGGAGGTAGAGAAAAGGTTGCTGATAGTGAGTATCTATTTCAAGAGGGTTTAATGCAGTAGGCAGACTAGTTGATGAAGTAGGAAATTGTGATGGACTCAAATCAATTACAAGAGGGCAGTGAGAAAGTTCCTGATTTTGTGACTAGTGAAATTGAGATTTAGTAGACTGATTTTGTGTGATAAGAGGTTGTGATGTAATAGGGTTATCAATGGATGAAATGACCAATTGAGATGGTGTTAAGTCTACTATAAGATGACAGAGATGAGGTTCCTAACAGTGTGAAGACTTCTAATTTTGTAATCTGTGAGGTTGTGATGTGGTAGGCTAATTTTGAATGGTGATAGGGTGTAATATTGTAGGTGTTGGAGGAGATGCTGTAATTGGTACATGTGATTGGTGAGGTAAAACTAATGATGGTAAGGGACAACTTTCTGAAGATGAAGTGTTGTTGGAGACAGGATTGGATTGATGGGAAGGTGATGTTGAGGAGGAATTTTGTGCACCAACTGTTGAAGTAGGAATGGATGCAGAGCATGATACTACTGGAGATACTTTACTATTGGGAGCTAAAACAGTAGGAGACACTGATGGTGGTACTGACAAAGAAGGAAATCTAAGACTAGAAGGGATGTTTGTTGACTGTGCATAAGGTGAAACTGAAGAGTGAAGAAAGTTGTGCACAAAAGGAAATTCATCTTCATTAAAAGTGACATTAGGTGTAATAAAAATTTTACCTTCAGGACTTAAACACCTATAGTCTTTATGAACTAGACTATATCATACAAATACACACTTAGATGAATGAAAACTAAGTTTGTGCCTATTGTAATCTCTTAGGTAAGGAAAATATGCATATCCAAAAACTTTTAAAGATGAATCAAGCGGTAATCGACAAAACAACAACTGATAAGGACAATGAAAATCAAGAATAGCATATGACATCCTATTGATTAAAAATACAGCAGTATCAAATGCAAGCCACCAAAAATTCATAGGCATGGAGGCATGGGCAAGTAGGGTGAGACCAGTTTCAACTATGTGCCTGTGTTTTCTCTCATTTCGTCCATTTTGTTGATGGACATAAGCACAAGAGTGCTTAAACTGAATGCCAAACTTGGTTAGGTAAGGAATTAAACCCCTATATTCACTCCCTTGATCAGACTATAGACACTTAAGTTTATGATTAAACTGTCTCTCAGCTAAATGATGAAATTTAACAAAAATAGAATGCACTTCAACTTTGGTTCTTAAGGGAAAAAGCCAGGTAAACCTGCTAAAATCGTTAAGAAAATGCATATAGTACTTAAGGCCTTCAATGGATGCCACTGAAGAAGGACTCCAAATGTCACTATGAACTAATTCAAGAGGAACAGTAGCTTTGGAATGAGAGACAGCAAAACTGTTTTTGTGCATTTTGCCAAGTTGACATGCATCACAAAAAGAAATGGAAGGAATATGCTTCGAAGGATTGTGATTAATTTGCAACATAATTTTCTGAAAAACTTCAGAATGTGGATGCCCTAATCTTTTATGCCAAAGTGATGAAATGTTTTGTTTGGGACAAGTGGCTTGAAGAGCTAAAGGTGAACTGTTGGGCAATTACAGGTGACATTGAGACACAAAATTGTCATCAGTATTACTACTAGTACTACAATCAATTTCAGCAGCATTGCAAGCTTTATTATTAAAAGAGTAACTAGGAACATTATCAATAGCATGGTGATTAACAACAAAATTAACACCATCAGCATCAGAATCAACAGGATCAGTAACAAAATTAATACCATCAGCACCAAAATCAACAGGAACAACATGATTAGCATTCTTATTATGAGTATCATTAACAATATGACTATTAACGGCATGATAAATGCTATCAGAGACAGAATGAATACCAACATCAAGATTAATAGAAACATCATGACTAGTAGTTCTATTAGGAGTATTATCAATAGTATGACTATTATCATTAGAATAAATACCATTAGTATTGCTAACAAGATCAACAGTAGAAGTTTCATTGATATGATCAATCATATTGCACAAATTAGAAACAATATTATTAGATAAAGAGTAATTAGAAATAGAAATGTTTTATTTATTGAAGGAACATTACAACTATCTAGGACTGACTCTATGTATTTATTATCAACATTAACAGCAACATTAACAGTAGAAGGACTGACACTAGATTGTAACTCACTAAGACTCTTGTGTGGGATCTTATCTCTTAAGGTAGATACAGACTTATGAGAATCAATGGCAGTAACACTAGCAAAACAATTTTGATTTTGAGGTTTGTGACTGGTGACAGAAACTAAGCTTTGTGCATTAAAAGGAAGACAAGACTGAGCTAAAGTGTCCTGAGAACTGACAAATGGAAGTCTCAATTGATATAGCCTAGCATTAAGTTCTCCCTATAGTAAAACTGCTCTGGAAACCTTGTCCTTAACAATGCAACAGTCAGAGTTAAATTTAACCACAACATTATTGTCTTTAGTGAATTTGGATATACTGAGCAAGTTTTTAGTAATTCTTGGTATACACAAAACGTTTTTTAGATGTAGACATTTATTTGTAGAAAACTAGGTAAAGAAGCAAAGCCAACATGGGATATATCAAGAAACTCACCACTGCCTACTTGTAATTGTTTAATTCCACCATAATTTCTGCTCATATTCAACTGACTAAAATCTGCAGTGACATGGTCGGTAGCACTAGAATCCATATACCAGGTAGGATCTAATGAGATAGAGGCACCACCAGGAATGAAGGGTGATGAATGGGAGTTGACAAATATGGTCTGATGATAAGCTAGGTAGGCTTGGGTAGGTGTTTGTTGTTGTATCTTCTAATGAAAAGCTAGGTAGGCTTGGTTGGGTGTTTGTTGCTGTTTGCTGGGTACTTGGAATCCTTGTTGTGAAATTGTTAAGGGTTGATGAGAGATTTCAGCAAACTATCCTTGGTATTGTGATCCTTCATGTGAATAGGAAGACTGGATAGATTGTTGTGGCAGGATGCTACTAGTGGGACTGTTAACACAATTGTGCCCAGAAGTGATAGGAACTTGAGAACCAAGGGTGACATATGATCTAGCACCTATTTTTTGTAGGGAAGAATTGTATTGAGATGCGGTCACATTGTAATTGCAGTTATACCAGTGGTAACATTTCACTGCAGTATGACCAATCTTGCTGCAGACTTGGCATATTGGCCTTCCTCTGCCATTACTCCTACCATGACCTCTGCTAGTATTGTGAAAAACAGCTGGTCTGTAGGTAGGTACTAAAGGATTATAGTAGGTTTGGGAAGGAGTATAATGTGAAACAGTTTGTTCAGTGGGAATGGTAGCTGTTAGAGGATAATGTTGTGTGTAAGAGGGATTAGATAAAATGTTTAGGGAAGGTGTAAACTGTGTGAGAGAAGTTGGACTTCCAGTAGAGCTAACTGAAGTATTAATAGTGCTTGAATGAGTAGGTTTAAAGTGAGAATTATTGGAATTACTCACTGCAGCTATATTTACTGAACTTGTTGGAAAATCAATAGAGTTGAATTTCTCTAGTCTTAACTCATATTTCTATAGAAGATACTGTGCTTTTTGAATACTTACAGAATCAAACCTAGACTCAAGTCTAGAGGTTAAATTGACTACAACAACATCAAATTCAAGACCTAATCCATCTAGAACATATTAAAGAACATCTTCATCATAAACAACTTGTCCACTGGATGCTAAACTTTCAGCTATTCCTTTCATTTTCTTGATGTAGTCACTAACGCTAAGGTTGCCTTTTTGAGTATTTTGAAGTAAGTTTTTAAGGTGTAGTGCCTTAGCTTTAGAATCTGACAAGAACTCCTTTTCAAGTGTGAACCAAACATCGGTAGAGAGTTGACACTTACATACACAACTAAACATACACTCGGATATTGGCGCAAGTAACCAGGTAACAAGAAATTTATCAATGCGTTTCCAAGCAACATATTCATGATTGATTTTTTGTTTAGCTAGGGTTTCTTTATAACTAATTATTCCTGATTCAGTTGAAATATCAATTAACGAGGTAAGTAAAGGCTTAGGACAGGGGATCAAACCTGACAAATGCTCTTCCAATCCGTGAGCTCCTACTGTGAACAAAATTTGCGAGCTCTAGAACCGATAGTGATCACGGTAATTGTCCCTCGTTAGCTTCAGATTTATTACTTGAAGACTTGAAGGAACAATAGGCGAATGAAGCTCAGATAGATTGTAGAGTTTATTCACGTTCTTTGCATAACTATCAACACCAGAATGCTCAGCTATCGACGTGAGTCAGTGGCTCTGATACCATGTGAAGATTTAAGAGAGCAAAAACAAAATGGATAAACTGATTTGTATTAAGCTGAATTGAAGAATGTACAATGAAGATCTCTCTTATATACAAAGGAGAGAATCAGTGAAGATTAGTAAAGTGAAATTAGTAAAGTAGCTCGTTTGAGCTCAAAGCAATATCTAAAACAATTTACTCAAAACGACAGCGTATTAACAAGTTACTGTGTGACCCTTTATGTTTTACAGAACTGCAGTCTGCACCCTTTGTATTGTATGGTCAACAAGATATATGGTTGAAATTATCTCATATTTCATACGACTCCATTCAACACAACTATGACACTTGCTCTCAAATTTCTTACTCTCTCCTCACTTTGTTTTCCTCCATCCACAACTTCACTCTTCCTTCTACGGTCTAATTATTCACAATCTTTAAAGCTCTATAACAAACCTTCCTCAATCTACACCATCAATTCCAAGTTCTTTCGTCTCTTTTATCGTTTCTCCGTTGATGATGAAAATAATGATGAAAACTCAAACTCTAGCTTCGATGAAGCAGTTGCACTTTTCAACAAGAGGGCTTACTATGAATGTCATGATTCTCTTGAAGCTCTATGGTACAGCGCCGAAGAACCAACTAGAACTCTCATTCATGGTATTCTTCAATGCGCTGTGGGATTTTATCACCTATTTAACCAGGTAATTAGTTTAGTTTTCTTAATAATTAATTAAACTCTCTATTAGAATTAATTTTTGTTTAAAATAATTAATTAATTAATACAGAACCATAAAGAAGCAATGATGGAGTTGGGAGAAGGACTTGGTAAGCTCCGTAAAATGAATTTTTCGAGTGGACCATTTCATGAGTTTGAGCGGGAGATTTCTGCAACTTTGGATTTTATTTATCAAACTCAAATTGAATTGGCTGCCTGTAAGTCTTTTCCCATTATCTTACTACATATTTAAAGATTTGATTATTGTGTCAATTTATAGTAATCCAACCATTATAATTTAATTATGTAATAGTTTGTTAAATTGATATTATAAATAGCTATACTTCAACCAAAAAAAATAATGTTTGACTGAGAAAGGGATTATGGAAATTTTGAGACGATAATCTACTTTTATTAAGTGATTTATTAGATAATAGAAAATTGGAGATCTTAAATACTACTCGAAATTCATAACTGTAGGGAGGGACCATTGAACAGGGGCTCATTTACAAAAAGTTGAAATGGATACTCTAATTGAATTTGAGTCAAATTGTAAAACTAGTCAATTGGTTCGGTTTGATGATTTAATTATCAATAATTGATAATTAAAGGTAAAATACATTGATATGAAGAAAATAATTAATTAGTTGAAATTTGTGTTGTTCAATTCAGGCATTGATGATCTATGTCTTGCAATGGATCAATCAGAAAGATCATATCAACTTCTTTGGGACTATGGTGCTGGGCAACATTTGTATAATCTTGAGAGTGATCACAATGAAATTATGTATATAGTCTTCCACCCTCAAAGATCTTATGCCTCTCACAACTCTTTAAAGGTAAAACTTCCCCTTTTAAATGCTACTCAACAACATTTAATTAATACCCTCTAAATACAAATACAATTGATTTTGTATCATATTACTTGATCTGTCAACTATTGTAATATAGAGAGTTCATCACAAGGAACTGTTGAAGTTAAAAAGACCATGAAAAAGAAAAGTACTCCACTCATTGAACAAAACCAATTATCGTCTTTTCGCTTAACAGGAATCAATACATCTCATTGAGATCATTCACATCTACACTGCCTGATTGTAGAAGAAAAAGAATCTCCTGTCATGCCATGAACCATAGAAATTAACATTAACTCCCTAAGGAAACAATAACTGACAAATATTGGTGCAAACTGGCATTACCACTGAATATTCCACAGCAAACAATACTTGCAATTAACAAGAAAACTTTGGATGAGATGATCTATACATATATAAATGTTAAGGCAAGATTTCTCAAGCTTCCATTTCTTCATACTATCAAAGAATTCTTGTGCTCATCTATTCCATTTCGTCATATTATGATAGGCAAGTTAGCCAACGCTATGATAGGGAAGAATTTCAGTATGCATAAGGCAAAACAGAATCAGAAGAGTTCAGAAATATTAGTCATTTTTGGAATGTCTTGAAGGACTACTTCATGCAAGAGGCTCTTGTAAAAGCTCACTTGTGTGAAGTTTCGAGCAAAACAGAGAAAGTAACGAAAAAAAGAAAGAGGAAGATGATTCTGGGAACTGTGTTTATTAAGCTTATTTGCTTGAAAAAGAAAATACACCGTAGAAGCACTTTTATAGTGCTTAGTTAACCAGAGTTGTAACTGACTGACTATTGATCTTAACTATAGTAACAAACTAACTTAAGTACTAACAGCTTAGTTAGTTATACAGCTTTTATTTAACACTTGGTCTCAAACAAGACTGCAACTTGCTGAGGTTGGAATTCTGCTCTTTATCAACATTTTCCCTCAAACAAGACTGCTACTTGCTGAGGTTGGAATTCTGCTCTTTATCAACATTCTCCGTCAATCGAGACTGCTGCTTGCTGAGGTTGGAATTCTGCTCTTTACCAACATCTTCCCTCAAACAAGACTACACTTTTCTTGCTGAAGTCCGGACTGCATTTTTTTTTGCTGAAGTCGGGACTGCACTTTTCTTGCTGAAGTCTGACTTTTATCAATATCTTCCCTCAAATGGGAATATAGCTACGGCAAACATATTCAGAAAAATGCGGCTTGCATTCTGACTTTAATATCTGACTCTGACGTTAATAGCTATCATATACAGCATAGATGTGCCGATATCACACATGAGAAGAATACTCAACAGCAGATTATCATACTTATCAACTCAGTATCAAATTTCCTATCGGAAGACTTCATCGACTAACAAATGCAGTAACAAATGAGAACTTGAAGCAGAGACATAATTTTTCTTGTATTCTCCCTTTTTAGACCGGAGGGAGCATTCTGAGAGGAACCAGAAGCAGAATCAGTTAGAGCAATGGATGCAGTAACATTGGGTTTATCTCTGAGCAGCTCAAATCTGGAAGTGGAGAGTGACTTGGTGGAGATGTCAGCTATTCGATGCTGGGTGGAAACATATTGGACTTTTACAAAATTGGAAGCAACTTGCTCTCTAATATAATATGCATCTAGTTCAATGTGCTTAGTACGGGCATGGAAAACAGGGTTGGATGAAAGAGAGCCTGCACTCTGATTATCACACCGGATTACTGGAATTTCAGAGAGAATGATGCCCATCTCAGAGAACAAACTTCGAAACCATGCTAGCTCAGTTGCACCTCGGGCAATGTAATGCTTTCTCTCTCTAGCTAGTATACTAGTAAAATAAACAGTAAAACTCATATAAATAGGAAAATCTATACATTGTAAATGAGTATACAAAAGTTGGGCCCATTTCTTTTATTATACACAAAACTATACATTAAGAAATAATGTGCTCAAAATACACTTGACAGTGATTGCCAGTCCCTTCCGCTCATGACATTCCCTTCGACTGCATCTTATCTCCTACCTGCAAAAACATTGAAAACAACGGGGTGAGTGCTAATTGCTTAGTAAGTAAACCCGCTAAGCTACTCCTCTTTCTCTCTTGTTCAAATTCTGAATTTCTTTCCTTACAAACATTTCTCTCTTCTTTTTTGTCCTTTTCTATTCTTTCTCTCTGTTCTTTCTCTATTCTTTTTCTGTTCTTTCTCTCTGTTCTTGTTTCTCACTTACTGACATGTAAGCACCACTAGAGAAACTAATTCTGAATAATATACATGACATGATGCATGTGCATAAATGCATACAAGAATGCATTTTCTTTTCTGTTTTCTGTTTTCTATTGATCTTCTTTCTTTCTTTTATGTGTTCTATGCTTTCTTTCTGTATTCTATTCTTCTTTCTTTCTTTCTTTATGTTCTTTCTTTCCATTCTTTCAGTTCGTTCTTTCTATTCTTGTTGTTCTTTCTTTTATTTTCTTTCTGTTCTTTCTTTCCATTCTTTCGGTTCGTTCTTTCTATTCTTGCTATTCTTCCTTTTCTATTCTTTCTTTCCATTCTTTCGATTCGTTCTTTCTATTCTTGCTGTTCTTTCTTTTCTATTCTTTCTGTTCTTTCTTTCCATTCTTTCTTTGCCGATCAGGCTTGGTTGAGGCATGGATTCGAAACCCTGGCCATGTGAGTGGGTACAGTCTTCATCTACATGCACTTCTAACGGACTGTACAATTCTTCTTTCTATTCTGTAGCCGCTCGTTGAAAGCAGTGTGCATGTAGGTATATTCTATTGGTACAGTGCTCATCCACATGCATTTCTAATGAACTCTACACTTTCTTCTTTTTGATTCTGAGGCCACTCACTGAAGGCGGTGTGCATGTGGGGCTATTCTCTTTTGTCACTCACGGGTTCCTGATCGCAACAACCTGTTCTTTTCTTCTTTTAAAACATTCTTTAATAGCTTTTACTTTCTTTCTCTTTATTCTTTAAGTTCTCATACATATGTATATTTTAACGCCCACATGGAGGTACGTAAGTTAATTTATGTTCTTATACTTTAGTTGATTTTTTTGCCAAAGTTATTTTGAGAAAATATGAAGAAAATGCCTTAAACTTGCATTAAGGGTAAAATGGTCTTTTCACTCAAAATTAGTTGAAAAAATGGGCAGTGAAAAGAGGTAGAATTTTATGGAGAATGTATTAAAAATGAGGGCATTATGGTAATTGACTAAGGGACATAAATGGAATTTTAAAGAAAGTGCAAGGGCAAAATGGGAAAGTATGCATATTAATATGAGATATTAAGAGTTCAAGCAAAAAGACCCTATCATTCTCTACTCCCTCTCACGCCACTTCACTCTCAATTTCTCTCATCTCTTCATCAAATTTCTAAGGGATTTTAGAGGGCTTTTGGTTGGATTTTGGTAGAGATTTTATCCTAAGCACCCAAAGGTAAGAATTCTTGCAATAGATGTGAGATTAATTTTTAAAGTGTTGAATTCTTATAGTGTTTATGCTTAGGGTTTTAGAGAAAGAACAAGTCTACCAAAGAAAGAGAGATTCTAGTGGAATTACTCAAGCACAAGGTAAGTAAATCCTACCCTAAGTATGATTTAAGTTATGTTGTGTAGAGAACTTTCTTTATGCATATATATGTGTTATATGTAAAATTGTTGATGGATTTGGTGTTGAATAATGATTAGAACCTATCCATGAGAAGTTGTGTTGGTGTAGTTGTTATTTGATGAATGTTTGGATGAGATTTGGAAGAATTGAAGTGAAAATTTTGAAGTGTGTATTTTGGGCAGATTTGGTGTTAATTATGGAGGAGTTTATTCCAAATTTTTGGTGGCCTAAAATAGAGATAGAAGTGTAGCCAAATTAGTGTTGATTTGTGCACATGAATTGTTTGATGAAATGCCAAAGAGAAGTGCATGTATGAGAATGATTATGTGTTACTTTGGGATGAGTTTGTAGATGGTAGAGAATGACATGTTTGCATTCCATAATGCATAATTGCATTTAAATATGTGAATTTAGAAAGAATTATAAGAATGAAACCATCAACATGCATACATATCCATAACAGCATGAAAAAGCCCTAAAATATGTTAAAGAGAAAATAGAAAGAAGTGAGAATATTAAAGATATTAAAGATGTTCAAATCTGAATTTTTCTTAAAGAAGTGTAAAAAAAAGATAAAAGAAGAGAAGATTGCTGCGATGAGGAGCCGTGAGTGACATAGTCCCACATGCACGCCGCCTTTAGTGAGCGGCCTCAGAATTCAGAAAAAAGAATTGTACAGTTCGTTAGAAGTGTGTGTGGATGAAGACTATATCCAAAATTAGAGAATTCACTCACATGGCCAAGGCTCCAAATCCATGCTTCAACCGAGTCCGATCAACAAGAATAGAAAGAAAGAATAGATAGAAAGAAAGAAAGAATAGAAAGAAAGAAAGAATAGAAAGAAAGAATAGAAAGAAATAAAAGAAAGAAAGAAAGAATAGAAAGAAAGAATAGAAAGAAATAAAAGAAGGAAAGAAAGAATAGAAAGAAAGAATAGAAAGAAAGAAAGAATAGAAAGAAAGACTAGAAAAGAAAGAAAGAAATAAAGAAAAAGAAAAAGAAAACAGAATCAGAAAAATAGAAAAGAAAATGCATAATTTATGCATTTGTGCATTTGCATCATGAATATGCATAATACCATGCTCATTATCATGGGTAGTGAAAAAATTAGAAAACAAAGAGAAAAGTAGAGAGCAAAACAGAGAAAGAATAGAGAAAGAACAGAGAAAGAATAGAGAATACTCGGGAAATGAGTTGTAAGGAAAGCAAATTCAGGATTTAAGCAACAGAGAGAGAAGGGTAGCATAGCGGGTTTACTTATTGAGCCATTAGTGCTCACTCCATTGTTTTTAATGTTTTACAGGTAATAGGTGAGTTACGGTCAGTCGGAATGTCACGCAGTGGAAGGGTTGGGCTACATTGTCAAGTTGCTATTTTTGGGAACATTTTGTAAATATTTGTATATAAAGAAAAATTAAATATGGGCCCATACTTTATTACTCGTATATATATACATATTTTCTTATATATATTTTTAATGAGTTTTAGTGATTATTTTACGAGTATACTAGCTAGAAAGAAAGCATTACATATATGTATGCATTTAGATGACTCATGCTTGTTATTCTTTCTAAATGCAAATGTTTAAATGCAAGAATGTCATGTAGCATAAAAATAAGTCATTCTTTACCATCTACAAGCTCATATCAAGATCACAAATGAATAAACTCATGCATACACTTCTCTTGGACATTTCATCAAACATATTGCATGCACACTCAAACTCTAATTTGGCTACACTTCTACTTCTTTCTCAAGCCACCAATATTTGGAGTAAAACTCCCTTAAATCAATACTAAACCTGGCCAGGAAAATACACTCCATAAATTCTACTCAAACTCTTTCTAAATTCAACCAAACTTCCATCAATCACCATACAACAAATTCCTCTTCTCATGGCTGAATTCTATTCATCAATAACCATCAATCTCATCAACAATTCTCAAAATCATAAGCACATACATACATGAAAAAATTCTCTACTCAATTGACTTCTCAAATCATAACTTGGGTTGGATTTACTTACCTTGAAAGTGA